ATAAATCATTTCTTAGCATTTTAACTTACCCGCGATTTCACTTTGTAAGAGGAAAATTTTTCAGCATATTGAAAACAAATATATTAGAAAGAATACTACACGAGTTTTGAACTAATCCAAGCATTTATAATTTGGTTAACTCATTAGAATAGTCAAAAGGTTTTTAATAGAATTTTGTCGAGAATAAATTTAGCATCAAGGTTAAAATTTATTGTTCATTTCAAAAGGACATATATATATAACATATTCTTTAATGTGTTCTATGTTGTCTAACTCTTTTATCAATGAAATAGAAAATACTCAACGTATTTTCTACTGAAATTAATTTAAGAAATTTTTTTGAAAAACTTTTTTCAAAATGACTCATTTAAATTTTATTTCATTTCAGAAGTTCGAATTCTTTTATCCATAGTATAAAAACAAAATTAACGAAATATCTTTTTAGTTTGTTGCATTTTTATACCTTGAAAGGCATTTTACTTTAAAACAGGATTTAGAATAAATTTTAAAGAAGTAATAATTTGTAACACAATTTGAAATCTAGTATATAAAGGTACTAAGCTATGTTTCTCAAAACAATTGCATAATTAAAACAATTGCATAAAGCCCCTTTTTTTAAATTTGTATTATTGAATTTTAATGTTATCTTATCCGTATATATCTTTTTACCGATGTTAAGATCATAAATAGTAATGTTTTTAATTCAGGCACATATGCTTTACTTTTAAATATTTCATATAGTTTTAATACTTATTCAAGACCATAGATGAATGAAAATTTAGTATAATATTCACTTATTTATATATGCTGTTGTGCGTTTTTGTCGCTATATTTTTGTATATATAGTGATAGTTTTAGGTTACTATAACTATTTGTAATTATTATTGATATTAATCAAGCCAGTAAAATGGCTTTAAATCAAAGAATTATCTTTATCATAACAACTTTCAATCTTATTAAAAGAAAAATTGAATTCATTTGGAAAAAAGAATTTTTGCATAAGTGCTGTATATATTTGTAAAGAAACTCAGAAGTTTTTTAAGGGCTATAGGATTTTTCAGAACCCCATTGAAAAACATACACATCTTTATATTTTTATATTTATTGCAACGAAAATAAGTTTATCTGAAAATTGTAGAAAAACTCATTCAAGAAATATCGTGCAATGATTTATTTAATCTCAACCTTGTAATTGAACACAAAATCATCCACCTCTATCCAAAACGAGTTTTTAAATCAAAATTATATATTTTATGTTAATTTTATAACATTTTTTTATATAAATTTCATTAATATTTGCTAAATTATGAATTTTATCTATAAGAAAAACTCAAATATATTTGCTTTACACTTTAAATCGAGAATTTCTTGATAGTATAAAAACTTTTATGTATTATAATTAATTAAACTCTTTTGTTCCTTAAATGTAATCATTCGTTGAAGCAAATAATCAAGTAGGGATATCCAAATTTAGTTTGCGTTAAATAAAGTATTACGGTTTACTGATAATGATTGTTTTGTAAGCATAAGAAATAAATAACAGCAAGGAAGAGCGCACTTTACAGAAAAGAAGGAGAGTTAATTATATGTGTAAGTGATTTACGAATTGTGATAAGTCCTTTACGTGTAAGAGACTAGCTCAATCCTGATAAACTTTATGGAGTGTTCTTAATTAATTAAATTAAGAGAAAAATTTACTTGCCACTTGCTACCTTCTTGGAGAAAAGAAAGGAAAACTTTTCTTCACACAGTTCTCATTAATTATCTAAGCAGTTATTCGCTTTGCTGTGCGAATGAACAAAATAAAAATTCCAATTTGACAGAAAATTTGATCAAACTGCGCGATAATTTTTTTTAAAAATATTGTAATAAAAATACGGATTTGGGACATTGAAAAATTTATGATAAAATATTAAAATAAACAAATAAAGGCAAGGACAGAGACAATTTAATAAAATAATGAATTGAGACTAGTGGAAAATCATTTTAACCAGACAAGTGGTATGAGTCTCCAATTTACTCTTTTTAAACTTCAAATATATAAATTTAAAGGATAACTCTTTTTCAACATCATTTTTCCAAAACATCAAATTACTTCTCTTGATTCGTATGCTTGAGGTTTAAATTATATACCCATTTGCTTACGTTTTGAAAGTAGTGTAAAATAAACATAAACAAATAATATAAAAAAAATATTTTTAAGTCAATGCCTACACTTTGAACGGATGAATAGAAAGTATTTTATTAATGATTGAAAATTTGAACAAGATATATATATATATATGGAGAGAGTGAACTAATAGTAGGAACTGAAAAAGAGCATGATTTGTCTGCGTTGTTGTAACAACTAAAAATAATTTGTATGTATTTGCATGCAAAATTGTACCCCAACACGCGATTTCGACTTACATGGCTGTAACGGGTCTATTCGCGTTCTTCCTACAAATAATCCTCTTGGGAATTAATGGGTCTTTAAATTTTATTCTATTGAAAACTTTCCTCTTAAGAAGAAGACGTGATTATTCAAATCAAGGCTTGTATTTAAGGATTAACTTTCAAGCTCGATCAGAGAAAGGTTAGAAGCTAACAGGATAGCAAGGAGTGATTAACGTAAAGCTAAGTGAGAACGCTTCGTAGAGTGTTTGATTAATATTAAGATTGATGATTTGGTCAATTAGTTGTTAAATTGGATTCGGGTCGGTTTGAATCAGATTACTTTAGAAATTACCTTCAAATATAAGGTGTATTGCCTGGACGTGTTAAGAGCAAGTTATCCGATTTATTATCATACCTCCAATTATCTCTTCTACCTTGCTATTGCTCCCATTTTTATCAATTGGTGCATTTCTTAACTTGGGTTGTTGAATTTGTGTTGTTGTTGAGAATTGTTAATAAATAGAGTTTGTACTGAGTATGGCTAATCTTCCTTCTGACCCTCTTACACTAATGGATGGGTTCGCTCATCCATTACACGGTTATCACTCAGTCCCACTTATTGCGTAAGTTCAGGGTATTACTGACCATGAAAGAAGGGGGAGTTTTAATAACTTAAAAAGCAAAAACTTTGTGCGTGATATTAAAAAATACTTGAGTCCAGTTGTCGCGTCTCGGTGGACGTGGTTGTTGGACGGTTCGAGTAAAGATCCGCCATTTTAATACTAACAAACTTTTATTTACTCTTTTACTTAAAGCTTTAAGCAACTTAAGGGGAGAATGCACTTAAATCACTAAACACGAGGAACAATCGAGCTTAATCAGTTTAAATATAATAGAAATAATAACACTTATCTTATTTCTCAAACGCTTTTCTCTTCAATTTCAATAATCTTTGGATAATTTTCACTTGCCTAAACTATATGACCTCCGGTCGCCAACACAACGTTTGCTTCTATATCATATTTCACCTATCTTCGCGCCTACTCTACGACTAACACTTAAATAGAAGTTTTAATTTACATAAACCCAGTCTACTTTACTGAAAGCTGCTTTCAACTGAAATTACAATTATTTTACCCCAGAGGATTAGTGGAAACGCGGATAGACCCGTTACACAGTTTTCTCTTAAATGACGGCCTTTTTCTATAACCATGATCACGTAACGAAGATGACACCTGAGCTGACTTTCCACTCTCCAAATTTCAACACTTCTTCAACTAGAGGACATTAAGCCCGACATACTTAAAGTGCACTGGCTCTTCTAAACACGGCCGGTCTTCCATGGCTCCAAGAATCGAACCCATGACTCAATCGAAATAACGCAGGCCACGAGATATAGCACCTAAACATTGCTCGTTTCGAAATAAATTCTGTAAGAATATTATTCAGACACAAAGAAGGCTTTTTTGTTTATGCTTACAAGGATATTAATCGTACAAAAAATACGTGTAAGACAAGATCAAACAAATAATATAAAAAAAATTAAAGTCAATTCCTACTTAGGTCAACAAAGAAAAATTTTACTTTAGTTACTTTTTATTAAATAATTACAATTAATATAAATATGGATATACATATGACAGAATCACAATATTAAGTGGCAAAGTAGGAAGCAATTTTCCTTGCAGTTTTCCATTTTCCTTTCTATATAGGGCAAGGATGGCGAACCAGTGACACACGTGCCATCAATAGCACGCCAGGAATCGAAATGGTTTGCATTTTATTTCAAAATAACAAGGTTCACTATGAACTATAACGAACAAACGCGGCCGAGAGCACACTCGTTTGTTATTGTCCTGCCTTAGTTACGCCGTAGACTTCAGTTACTTATGGTGTAAAATTTGTTTACTCATAACATTGTCAATTTCGTTAAAACTAGTGTAGTTCAAAGTTTATTTGTGCTATATTTACAATTTTTAAATGTTATTGAACATTTCTAGCTCAGCAAAAGAACAAATAGTGCAATATGGTAAGTGTAACAAAGAATTTCAAACTTGATTAATCTAGAAACATGGCATCATTAGTAAAGGCGACAAAGCGGCGCGTGTTTTATGTTCTGGAACAGTGGTATGCAGAATATCATCTGTAAAACGGCATTTTGAAGCTAATCACAAATCCTCTTGTCAAAAAAGTGAACTGCAGCAAAATAATTGTTTAGAAACCATTTGGCAGTTGACTCCAATTCAACATGCATTCTACTAAAATTAACAATCCTAAAAAGTTATCTGTCCTCCAATCTGCAACAACAGAAGTCACACTAATGTTATTTTAATTTGAATTACACGTATAACTAAAACATTTACAACTATACAGTGCAAAAGGTATTTTTTCTTAGTAAATAACGAATTTTGACCAATCGCAAGTCAAAATTATTCGACGGCACATCTATACCTCACTAAGAACTTCTTTAGAAAAAAATGGCGCATTGATCCATAAAGGTTCGCCAACCCAGATATAGGGTGTTGGACTATTATTTTTGTTTATTACTATTTATTCATTAATTGAATTTAATTATTCCATCAAATAGTATATGGAAAAAGAAATCACATTCTCAGAAATTAGGCCATCCCAGGTGAGATTCGAACCCACGACCTTTGGATTTGAAATCCAAAACACTATCTATTGCGCTACAGAGACACAATGAGTGATTTTCCTTTTTATATATGGTGTTGAACTATTATTTTTGTTTTTTACTATTTTTTCATTAATTAAAAAATTAATGAATTAACATTTGAAAAAACTGTTTTAACACCAAACTGTATTAACTGGTATTAACACCAAATGTCACCCTCTACAAGTTTTAAAAAATATATTTGAACTTGAGTGGATGAATAAAAAGTATTTTATTAACGACTGAAAATTTGAAAAAGAAATATATATATAATTAAACATATATAGGGCGAGTGTGAACTAATAGTAGGAATTGAATGAATAAATAAATATAGGTAGAGTGTAAACTAATAGTAGAGGAAGTGAAAAAAATCAACGTATTTTCTTTGAATACGCACTATGTAACGATAATTTCCTTTCAACCAAAGAAAACAATTAAACAAATAACTTACTGTATTTTGAATTTTCCATTCTTTATACTAAAAAGAAGCGGTAATTTGACTTTTCATATTCGAGGGGACTGTTTTTTATTTCTTGTTTACGCCATTTACTTTATATACATATATGCATGTATGTATGCGTGTATAAATATAAAAATAAAATATGCTTGATATATGAGTTTTTTTAACAATACCATTTTTACGCACATATTCTCAACTATTCGAGCGCGCACGCTATCACGCTAAGATGCGCATGCCACAAATTGAAAGCCGTTGATCCGTAGAGCTCCCCTAAACTGTTTTTAAAAACAACTCATGTCTGAATTTTGTATGATGATTTCATTTCTTGTACTGAAAACAACCGTACGAGAAACAAAACAACTGTGAAATCAATACCACGAGATTCCTCTCCGAAAAAAGAAATATTTCTTTGACTTTCCATAGCATTAGCATTTCTATTTTCGGAATTCTCCCATTTTTTTTTATATTTTCATTCACTGTCGGCCTTCCGCTCCCATGTCAAAGTCCCATTGATTCAGAAAACCGTCAGTTCATAGTGTCAGCTAATCAAAATCACATCAGATCGGTTTGTTCTCCTCTATGTTTTGGTACAAATATTATTTCTTTTCCTGTTTTCCTTCTATGGAAAAATCTAGAGGGGGAAAAGGGTATCACAGAATGTAGAAAGAGGAGAGAATACATTTGATAACATTTTATTCAGTAGTTCAATCAGAGCACGGGGGGTAGATGTTCTTTTAGTTTTCTGTTTTGGGACGGCAACTTCTATCTTTTTATTATTTTCTTCTTGAATTTCTTATCAATGCTTGATTCTTGGGGGATGGAAAAGTGATGTGCAAGACGCCAATAAGCTTTTATTTCCGTGGGTGGAAATGCTAAACTAATGTAAAATGCTAATGAGTTTTTCTTGTCGATAGGAAATGAAACGAAAAATCATCGTGTGGAAAAGAAAGAGTACGACCCAGGAGAGTGATGTAGATAAAAAAATGTTTTACCAATTTTCTTACAATTTTTCTATACATCCACACACGCATAATATATATATATATATATATCAACCCCACTTTCAAATAATTTATTTTATATATAAGAGCTGTGTCCTAAGTCAGCAATGCTTATAATTTTGTAGCATCCATTTCTTATATTTTAAAAATCTATTATATTTTTAATTTCTCATATGTCCTTCCTAAAATCTTATGTCTGGTTATCTTGCACTTTTAATTTTTTTCAGTTTTGCTTATTAAGTATTCATCTATCTTTAATAGAGAATTTTGACTCTATAGATATATTACATATTATTCATATATATTACATATATATATATATATATATATATATATGTAGCGTATTGGCCGAGTGTGGTATTTGTCGAGTGGTTTCAAGAAAGCATCTTCAGTCGACGCTCATCTTTTTTATTTTGAAGCACACATCAAAAGCTTTGGATAAAATTGCGGTACATTTTCACGTTGACGAGACAAACTTGTGACGATTGCAAAGCAAAGCGGACAACGACAAACAGTATCGGCATGTTGGAGGACACAACACAGAAACAAAAAGAGAGCGATTACACAAGATTTTTGCTTTTATACCGGCAGTGGCAAGCGCTTGATTATTATGTAATAGTAGTTCTGATTGGATAGAATGGGCGGGACAGGGATTTCGGACTAGCCGATTACGTTTAAGATTACAATGTTATTTTTAAACCAAAGAATTAAAGTTTGTTTAAAATATTAATACAAAGAGTTAACAAAAAGGGTACTAGAGGGAATTATTACATATATATATATATAAGTATTCTTTTTCTGTTTGGAATTTTTTTTTTGTCTATGTTCTGTTTGAATTTTTCCTTATTGATCTAAAAAGTCGTAAAGGAGGAAGGTTTAAATCATCTAACTAATTTAACCCTATTTAACCCTACTTATTCGGTCCTATGTCCAAAATTGATTTTTGCTTAAAGGGCTCCTTTTTCAATTTTGTTTAATTGATTACTTTTCTTTTTTTTTTAGGTATGAAATATATTGTTTTGTATTTTTTTAATTTGGTTTATATATTTTGTTCTTTCATGTTATTAGATGCATTTTACATTTTAAATGCATGCATGTGTTTAATTCATATATACTCTGATTAATTTTGTTTCCAGTGCCTTATTTTACGTAACATCACCTATTTTGAAATTTTTATCAAGACATGTATATGTTAAAGTCAACTTAGTTAAAATAAAAGTTTACGTTTAATAACAAATATTTAAAAGCATTTGCAAAATTATTTGCACGTAGGTAAATTTTGTTCGTACCAATAAATGCCCTTCTTTTAATAGATATTTTATAATACGGTCATTTATTTGTTACCATATTTCCCCGTAAGGAGTGTAATTAAATACATTATTAATTTTAGTTTTAGTATCATCACTTAATATTCTTTTCGTTAAATTAAAAGCCATAAGTATTAAATTTATGTAGTTATCGACTTATATTAACTTAGTAATAAATAATTGCATTTAAAGCTTTTTAATACTTGTTTTCTTGGTCTCGTATTAACCATCTACAAAATGAAATACAATTTAATTTCATGTTTAAGAAAAACTATATATAAATATATATATATATATATATTTGAATAAGTTCATTTAAACTATAACCATTAACATTAAATTATTTAAGGGGCGTGTGTTGGATATGACGTAAGACTCTCTAATTTAGATGTTTGGAATATTATTCTAAGTAAATGCAAATTCCTTTAATGTGCAACGTCAAAAGGATTATGATAATAAGAACGCGTTAACGTACCTTTTTATGATAATGAGGTAAATCGTCATCTTTCAAAACTAAGAAGGAAACAAAAGTACTTTTCTTTCGGAATTCAAAGAAACAGTATACCCATCTAATGATGAGTCGAATTATATTTAAAAAATGAACTTTTTATCATACAGTAAAACTACCATTTATAAGTAGAAAAAATCAGCCTAATATTGAATTTCAGATTTGAAAAAATATCTTACACAACAAATATAAAGTCCAGATGTTTGAATTCCTGGAAATTGATTCTGTATTCTAAATACGAAGCTTTAAATAAACAAAAAAGAGGGGAATTTTATTTGTAAATAAAAGTTCTCCTTAACTTTTGTTAAGTTCGTGAAAAGAATCACAAAGAGCAATTGTGTTATGCTTTAATTTTATAGGTAAAAAAAAATAATAAATTAATATATAATAATTATTTTTTACTTGTTTTTCATTAAACTCGTCTTAAAACAATTCTAGTCAAAAGCTACAGTAATTCAAACAAGATGTTAATTTCAAAATGTAAGCATAACTTTTAAAACTATCAATTGCAAATAGGTAGTTAACGTCGTAAGGTTAAGCAAAACTATTGAAGTTCATGAGTAATCATTTCTTTTGTTTAGGTAATAATTTGTTTTATTTGCTAATTATGACATATCTCATAATAAATTTTCAAAAACAACGAAATCAAAGAAATATTCTTCCAATGAAATATTTTTCAATTCCTACTATTAGCTCGCACTGTCTATATATTTATTTATTTATATATTTGTATATTTATTTATTTATCTTGGTGGAATTTTCAATCGTTAATAAAATACATTTTAAAGCGCTGAATTGAGCTGAAATTTTATATACAGGATCATTTTGGATGACAATGCAATAATTTAATTATAATTAATAAAAATTTTAATTGATTAAAACTAATTATTTAAAGAATTACAAATACAGCCACGTTGGCGACTTAACGACCCTTTTGGCGACTTGTGTCAAAACTTGAAAAGGTTTTTCTCACGTGTTAAAGCATTCAGTTGGACTGAAATTAAAAGGACAATACGGATCAATGTGATCTTTTATGTGATAATTTAGCCGAATCGATCCCAAACTAGATTGTTTTTCTTTCACGTTCATGATTTAAATTACCAATATTCTTGAAAGCAAAAAAACAAGGAATTCCTTCCTGTTCAATAGAAAGGAAGAAATATCGTGGAAAATTCGTCATACTCATCCCTTAATCAATTTTATAAAGCATTTACGTTTAACGCTTCAAACATTGATCAAATTTTCCTATGTCTTTATAAAAAATAACTGCGTTTTTATTTAACATTTTATATTCAAAAAGTAAATTCATCTAATTCTTGACAATATTATAACCACATATAACTACGTCTATTTAATACTTTATTACTTCTTTTTTTTCATTGCTAAATTTAGAAGCAAACAATTACCCATGTGATTTATTTTAAAACTGATATTTTAGTAAAATAATTATTTTTTTCCTCTAGAGATAAGAAGCAATGACGGTTGAAAATATAACAATGCTCTAGGGTAAAAAAAATTCTTCACAGAATATCGTGTATTTTTAATTAGAAAATTGCTTTTTTATTCAAAGTGAATATAAACATTTGCTTGTTGTACTTCCGAAATTAGTAACAAAAACATTAGAATTAAAAGACTCTTACTCTTCGATTCTGTGAATATTTCAATGTTTCTTTCTTTTCAGAAAAATTTATTTCAATATTTCCTTATTTCCGTAAAAATCGAATGCATTGTTTAAAAAGCAAATAATTGT